TTTTTGATTTTAACTTCTGTTTGTGAATTGAGGGATAAAATACCATTAAACTATTAGTGTTTGTAGAGTGCATTGGGAATACCAATGTGCTTACAAGAGACACAAGTACATTACAAGACTTTCATTTGTATTAAATCTGTTACAAACTTCCTAATCATTTGGGTTATTTCATTTTAATTTCTCAGCATTCACAAGGAGCTAACTCTTCTTTCCAGTCCTTACCTCAAAAATGTGAGTAAGAGACTTCTGTCCCGAGATTACTGTCCCAGTATTTTCTGCCATCTCTCAAAGATGGTGATTTCTTGGTCTTCAGATCTAGTGCCACTATATGTTTGGAAGTTTTTTCATTGTGACATGTTCTTCTTGTATTTGTTTCATTATACACAGCAGTGCATGTATGCATATGCATCCCAACATAAGATGGACATGGAACTGTTGGAGCAAGTCCAGAGGATGCCACAAAATTGTTAAGAGGACTGGAGCACTGCCCCTGTGAAGTCAGGCTGAGAAAGTTGGAGCTGTTCAGCCTAGAGAAGAGAAGGTTACATGGAGATCTCGTAGCAGCCTTCCAGTACCTGAACAGGGCTTACAGGGAAGCCAGAGAGGCACTCTTCATCAGGAATTGTAGTGATAAGACAAAGAATAATGAGGAGAACCTGAAAGAGGGGAAACTTAGGCTAGGTGTTAGGAATAAATTCATTACTGTGACAGTGGTGAGATATTGGAATAGGTTTCTCAGGGAAATTGTGGGTGCCCCAAGCCCCAACCCTGGCAGTGCTCAAGGCCAGGTTGGATGGGGCTCTGAGCAACATGATCTAGTGGAAGGTATTGGGACTAGATGGCACCTTCCACTAGATCATGTTGCTCAGATCTTTTTGACCCAAGCCATTCTATGGTTCTATGTGCACACAATAGCTGGTTTTCATCAGAAAGGTGGATAGCGTCTTATATAAAATGACATTTAACCCTGAAATAATTCCAATTTAAAGTAAATCTAGAACTTTGTCACACAGCATGCCAGCTTCTTATTGGTAAGGAACTGCTCCCATCTGACTTGGTATCATGCTCTGCTCCTGGCTCAAAATTCCTTTTGGGGCAGGTGGCCCTCGCTGTTCCCTCACAAACTGTCCATCTCATACTGTGGTCTGAAGTAGTAAAAACTTCATGAAAGAAACTGGCTCTTGTGGTATGCTGTCCTTTAGGGAGTATAGAAGTTTTCCACATCTCAGGTTACTCTCAGTGTCAAATCCCACTGAAGCTGCTTGCTGAATTCAGGTATGGCAAATCCCTCATTTGAGCCTGATCTGGGTATGTACATCATGTTAGCTGCCTGCCTGTGTTACCAGCAGCTCCCTGGATTATCTCTTATACACTGATGCTAATTGTTACATCAGTAATGCTGCCCACCCCAGGCATAGAGCAGTACAAATGGAGGTACCACACCGAGTGCTGTCAGGGTCTCGAAGTGCTCAAATGTTTTTTCTTAGTGTAAAAGGAACCAACAGTAAATTCTCTGCTTAAAAGCAGCTCCCCAGAGAAAGGAGAGGGAGACCGCTGATTTATCTTCCCTCACCACAGTTCGTGTAGCAAAGGGTCCGACCTTGGGACCAACAAGCTGAACTCCTTAACCTGGCCAACTAATCTTCCAGAACATGGCAGTGCACTCGGAACCCAGCATAGATATTTATCCTCCCAACACAGCTATTTCTGTGCATCCCATGGATAAAGCAGGCATCTTATGGTTACCTTCAAGATGAAATTAAAACTCTACATGTAAACTCTTTATACCGTGAAATCTGAAAATGGCCAGAAGTACATTCCCAGTTTTCTCTTTTTTTTTTACTGTTACATGGTAAACTCTGGAAAATCAAGTGACAGCTGTGTCGGTTTTGTTTATTTCAATGAAGCAAAGGTCAAGTGCATTAAAATTCTTACAGCTTCCACGTAGTAGTAATTGTTAGATGGCAGAACCGCAGAATATCAAGGCCTATTTTTTAAAATCTTACCATATGAGGCATGTATCAGGAACAAAGCAGCTCATTCCTTTTATTAAAAGAGCCTAATGTTATTTCTGCAGGAATTTCTCTCCCTTAAAGTCATGGCATTAAGCTGTTCAACACCTTGTTATCCGTTGAATTAGTGTTTGGAACATGACACAAATGCACTGACAGCAAACTCACGCTAAAATCTTGCTTTGGCTATCACCATCCTATCCAAACAACGGGAATCAAAGCACCAAACATTTTGACATTATTTCTGGGAAAGGGGTGGCTGAAGCTCTCGGGACAAAGAGGTTTTCTTCTGGATCCCGTTTGCTTCCTTAGCCGGCCCACGTGGGACACAAGCCGGGACGCGATCCCTGCAGCGGGAGCTGCAGGAACCATTCCTCCCCTCGCTCACACGCGCGGGGCAGAGGAAGCCACTCGAGCAGGGCAGCCCACGCCCCGGGCAGGCGGGGCACGGCAGGGTGTCCAGCAGCACAGCACGGCCGTGCCCGGGGGCTCCGAGAGCTCCCGCCCCCGACCGGGAAGGCAGCTCCCGGGAAGGAGCCCGGGCACCCCGGTCCTCGGCCGAGCCCCGCCCCGAAGCGCAGCGCCCCGAAGCGCAGCGCCCCTCAGGCTGCCGCGCAGGCGCTCTCGCCGTGCGGCGGCCGAGCCCCGCCCCGCTCTTTGTTTACCCCGCGCGGCGCCGCGCGCCGGCCGATGGCGTCAGCGCACCCGGCCCGCCCCCGGCCCGGCGGCGACAGCGGCGCCCCGGGAGCTGCCGCGTCCCTGCGCTGTCCCCGGGCCCGCCCCGCCCCGCGCCGCCCGCCGCCCGCCGCCCCGCGCCGTTGGCCGCCCGGCAGCCGGCGGGCGCATGTTCCCCGGCGGGGTCGGCGCGCCGGCGGTGAGCGCGGGCGAGCATGGCCGCGCCCGGGTCGGAGAAGAGCAGCAAGAAGAAGACGGAGAAGAAGCTCGCCGCCCGCGAGGAGGCCAAGCTGCTCGCCTCCTTCATGGGCGTCATGAACGCCATGCGCAAGCAGGTACGGCGGCGCTCGCCGGGGCCGGCAGCCCGCGGTGCCCGTGCTGCCCTGAGGCCGGTCCCGCTCCCATGCCGAGCTCCCGGGGGTTCCCGGCTCTAGGGCCCGGCGCCGCCGGTGCCACCGGTCTCCGGGGCCGCGCAGCGAGAGCCGCGAGTTCCGCTTTCGTTTGCGCCGGAGGCAGAAGCGCCGCGGATCTGGTTTTCCTTATCTGAAAACGCCTTGCGTGGGGCCGGGCAGGAGTGAGGCTGTGAGTGATGGATGGCCCAGTGTCTCCAGTTAGAGCATTCACGGAGCCCTTTTCGAACCGAGCCCTGAGGACTGTGGAAAGGCGCTAATGCTGGATTTTTGACCAGAAACTCTTCTCTGAACAAATTGACTGTGTACCCTGTGAGCACTGCAGCTGCAGCGGGAGGAGAGGGATGAGTAGAACCATGGTTTGGTTTCACAAGTGGCATTTTTGCCTTGAATACCTCTGGCCATTGCACTAGGAAGCCAATGGCGCTGTAGGAGTTTGGTGGCTTCATCCGGCCTCAAATTGTGAAACTCTTGGGCTAATAAGCTTCCATGGTGAATAGTTTAATGAGTATTATAGGTGACTCCTCTGTTTGCCAATAGAACAAGAGCGGTAACCAAAATCGCAGTCATACAAGTGCATTTCATTTGAGCTGTCCAAACTGAAATAAATACTCATAAATAAAAAACATTGAACTAATGGTACAAGAGCAGAAGGATGATACATGTAACTCTTTGCATATGAAGAAATCTTTCTTCTCAGAGAAGGATCTAGACTGGTTGTGGAACTTTGTTTAAAAACAGTGATGTGCAGCCAGAGTTAAAGCTGACTCTGTAGCCAGATGACCATGTAGGGCTTTCACACCTGGCACTGGCATGTGTTGTATCTTCTAGGGTTTAATTGCTTGTCCTCCAGTGTTAGTCTTGCCAGAGTCCAGCTTTTAATGCTGTCTGCACCAGCAGTCTAGGTCCTGACCTGACAAGTATTGGTGTTGGTTCTGCTTTTCTAGCACTTCAGCCCTGTTCGTCTCTCAGTAATAGACAGTCAGTTATGTTGTCTGCATAAACCATTTCATGGAACTAAGCTCTTAGGTATGAAAAACTAAGTTTTTTGCAATGATTTCAGATAGTAGACTAAAGAAGGATTTAAGGCCTGTGTTCTATGTTTTTATGTAGGCTTTGTTTCTGATCTAAAAATGTAAACATTTTCCAAGGTGTGGCTGAATTCATAATTTGATTCCTCAGTGTTTAGTTCATACCTCTGTCATTGTTTAAAAGGATATGCTAGATGCTCTTATGATTTGTAAGTAGATATGTCCTCCTGTAGATATACGTGCAGTCCCCAGCACTGAAATTCACAGTGCTTTACCATATCCCCGTTCCAGTGTGTGGTACCACGTTGTTCTGTGTAAATGCCTCATCTTGATTCAATATAGTGGCTTGCCAGCTTTCATGAGCCACTCGAAACAAGGAGTGAGAGGGTCAGGATTAAGTCATGTGAAATTTGTGTGTACTTCTGATTCAGATTCCAGAATCTGTTATGCCCAGGAAGTAACAGCTCTTAATTTTGCCTGCAGACTTTTCATCTGACCTCAGATGAGCTTTACATATCCCACAGAGTGCTGACTGGTCCAGAAATTTTTGCAGATTTCATGAAACTCATGCTTCTTTTAGGAGTTGTTTGTAAGAGGAGCTCAAGTATTACTGAGGGAGTAGGGGGAGGTGTGGTTATACAGGATAAATTTGGGAAGTTAGCAGTAGCCAGAGGAAAACACACTAGTTTCAGCTCATTAGTTGTGCTAAAGTTGTAAGAGGATTTGTAGTCAGCATTTTCCTTTTGTATTTTGGTAAGTCATGAACTATACTGTAGTTACAAAACCTGAATATGAGTTAAAATTTTCCTGTGATGGAAATGTCAAGGTGCACATGCAGCTCTAGGTATTTAGCTCATTAGGTAATCCTTTAGGAATCTGGGCTGATGGGAACTTACAGCTCATTTTAAGGAGGCTGCTTTTTGTGTGAGGTGGGATGAAGAGGAATCTTCCATGAGTATAGGAATTTAGAGGAAACTGTGGACATACCTGCCCTCAAGTACAGGTGAGATGTTGGGGCCAAGTGTGTTTAGTGCTTGGAGGACTTGATGCTTGTCTCCAGCATTGATGAACCACATCTTTGTGGGTTTTCCAGAGCTATTGGACAACATGTGCATAAATGATTTATTGCAACATTGGAGCTCAGTGGAGGTCAGCCAAGAATGAAGTCATTGGGAATGAAGCTGGGATAGAGCTGCAAGGTGTTGCTGAACCTGTTATTTAGAAGGTGAAGTGCCCTGCAGAAGCTGACGCTTGGGTGTGTCCTTTGGTTAACACAGTCACCTGTTGCATCATGGAGGTGACCCAGTGACAACAGTGGGTCCTTCTGGAAGGAAGTGCAAAAATCCTCAGAAGAGCATTAGTCGAAATGGAACCATCACACCCAGAAACATCCCAGGGAAGGAAGTTAAAATGAAGATCTGTTTGGGTTGGCAAATGCATGCAGAGCAGCCTTAGAAGATCTGAGGTGTTTCAAATGCTGAGCTGAGGAATTTGAAGTGTCTTAGAAATGCAGCGTGGAGCTCAAGCAACAGCTGCAAGTCTTGGCAAAGCTTTGCCACAGGATTTTATGGTATCTTGTACTGCTGGTTTCTAATGCTTGTTTTGAACCAGAAATGTTTGAAATTTCAGCTTTTAAAGGATTTCCTTTGAAACTTTTCCGGAACGATCTCTTTTTTTGCTGTTGTTTCAGTCATATATGGTTTGAAGCTACAAAGGAAGCTATATGTCACCCCCATCTAACTTCCATTTAGATAATATTTTTGAAAGTATTATTTATATTTTGTCCAATATGTGCTTTTGAGTGTCCTGTAAAAAAAAAAAAATAGAACCAAGCATGTTTAAAGGAATTGTAAATATGGGTTATCAGCCCTAGATAATATTGTCTCCATGTGGAAAACACTGTCACAGTTCTAAGCAAGTATATATTTCCCACAGTATAAATGTTCTTTTCTGGGGCTGGCCTGGGGATGGGTGTACATAGATGTTTTTGAAAGCTGTTCCATGAACTTAAGGTAATAGTCCAAAATTATTTCCTGTTTTTTGAGAAAGCAGTGCTGCTCAGTTTTTCTTTCTTAATACATAGTTATAAATTACTGTATATGCATTTATTTCACATTATGTATATGCATTTGTTTCACTCAATATGTTCTTAGAAGAGATAGCATTTCAGAATCTATTCAAATTATGTGTTTTTCCCCCAATCGCTTCTGACAGCTTTTATAAATTATGTTGCTTTCCCTTCTCCTTTTAGAGCATGACAATTCACATGCAGAGGAGAAACTAGCTGCCTACATATAAACAGCAAATAAATGAGAAATTATGTTTTGTTTGGAAGCTAGTTGCTCATCAGGGGTGACCAGTCAAACCCTTCCACAGAAGTGGTATTTTTTTATAATTTTCTTTAAAATGCTCCATTGAATGCTTTAAACTCATTCATCACTTTGACTCCAGTTGGGAAGTAGGATGGCAGCCTTCAGATATGAGATTCCCGTGAATTTTTTTTGAAAATCAGCAGCAGAGTAAAGGAGAGCCACTGGTAGATGAAAAACAGTGCAGCCCCTCCTAGATGTTGCAGAGCCTACATTATTGTAGGCTGATGTAAAACCTACAGGAAATACTTTGGTCAGGGTTCATGTTATTTATGACCATCCTGTACAAATTCATGGGTAAACTGATGTTTGCTAGTTCTCCAGGCTACTGAACTTTGACTTCCAGAAAATATTTTTATCACATAATGCTCTTGAGTGATGTGTTTTACAAAAAGCAATTAATTTCCATAAGCTGTATTCAAAGAAATATTGTTGAAATATTTTCCAAAATGCTGATTTTTGTCTTTTTTTCCCTTTGATTCAGAAAACTCTTTGTGATGTCATTCTTATGGTTCAAGAAAGAAAGATCCCAGCTCACCGTGTTGTGCTTGCTTCAGCCAGTCATTTTTTTAACTTGATGTTTACTAGTAAGTCTTTTGCAAATTGATTAATATTAAACTTTCATGATGATATCCTGTTAAATTTGTCTGTCAACCTGTTTATCTTATGAAAGTGATTTATTTGAGGGACAAGCATAAGTGAAGATACCTCATTTTGTGCCCTTCCATTCACCTCTGTTCATCCTTCCCCTCATTTTTCCTTCAACTCCCTTTTGATCAAGTGTTACTTCATATATAAGCTCTCTGAATTAATAACTATGGCCTATACAATGTATCAGAGTTTATCTCCCTTGCTTAACCTGAAAATTGGGGATTTTATTGTCCCATTACAGAATTTGTCTGCCATCAGGCATTTCTGCATATAAATTGGGCTTTCAGAAGTTAGAGACATGGTTTAGTGGCTGGAGTGGATGATCTTAAGAGATCTTTTCCAGCCTTAATTCTGTGATTCTCTAATTCTTTCATTAATGCTCTCTTTAAAACTTCACTTATGTAGTATCTTTTGTATACCTTACCCATGAATTGTAAAATTACTCTAAAATCAAAGTTGAGTGGAAATAACAATTCCAGTGGTCAGTGGGAACCATCTGTGGGCAAACCTAGTGCTGTGTCTGGATGTGGGGAGCTCGGAGCTGTCTCCATTGTTATCAGCTTGAATGTGGAAATGGCTTTTGACAGTGGTAATGCTAACATGGCAGTCTGGCTGCAGTCAACAATGTCTAGACATTTTTTCCTTAACACAGTTTATCATAATTTAGATAATACAAGGATGTTCTCACACCAGTTATCTTGTTTGTTCCACTGCCTCCTTTCCTGACTTGTATTAGCAATTCTGGGTAAACAGCAATCAACTCTGAGCAGTTTTTAGCAGGTTACCACTTTGTATAATTGCTTTATTTTCTACTGTTTGTAAAACATACAATAACTAGAGTGACTTCTTGATTAAAAGTTTGTCTTTCAATCTGTTTGCAGCAAATATGATTGAATCCAAGTCCTTTGAAGTGGAGCTAAAAGATGCAGAGCCTGACATTATTGAACAGCTCGTGGAATTTGCTTATACTGCAAGGTAGTTTTGTTATTTAAAGCTCACGCTTTTCTAGGAAGCCTGCCAATTTTAAATTATAAAAACTTAAAATGTGTTTATGATTCATCAGTTTTGCTACCATTAAAATTCTTTCTTTGTTTAAAGCCTGATGTGACTAGACTGTCTTTCCTTCTTCCCTCTTCCTTTCTCTTTAACAGTAGGAAGCCCTACAGACTAAAGGAAACTGTATTTGTCTCCAGAAAGCAATTCAAAGCACTTCAAGCTTTTGACTTCAGTGTTGGAGTCAAACGATGTTTCCCATGGTTCTGTAATTCAGGTCCTTATTGATGTCAGCAGGGTCTCTCTTTATGTCTTTATGGCCATAGTAGCTGTGGCACAGAACCATTTCCAGGAGTTATGCCTTCATCTCAAAACAGGCAGGGTGGGATAACTCTTCTGTGAAAGTGTTTCCCCTCTATGTCAGCTTGTCCCTGTGTTTGTGGTTTTTTGTGGGCTTTTTTTCCTCTTCCAGCCCCTCCCCCTAACAGAGCTCTTGCAGATGGCTAGGGTTGTAAACAGTACTTAATCAGCTTTAATCCAACCTATGGATGGCAGGCCTTTTGTCTAATGGGGTTAACTCTCATTAGGGAGGCTTTCTCCTTTCTTTTGAGAGCCAGCTTCTTGTATAGTCCCTCAGTAGTAAGAGATGGTCTGTGTCATCAGCCCACCCCAGCCACATGGTTGCCTGCCCTGATAGCCAAGCCCTAGATTGTGGCTTCCATAAGTTCTCTTGAAGCACTGCAAAACTGGTTGTTCTGCTTATGCACTTTGGGCAAATCAGCTAGACCAGTCCTGACAGAGTTTAAACAGATTTTGCTGGTACCTGTTTAGAAGTTGAAAATGGTCATTAAAAAGGTTCTGGGTTTGGGGATTTTTTACCTTCTGTGAAAGTGGTTAATCACACAACTCATAGCAATAGTATAGGACTGCAGAGGACCTGTGTTAAAGGCTTATTCTTCAGATCCCAGGGCTGGTTATTCTTTACCCTGCCTGGGTAAAGTAGAGCAGACAAAAGCAGTTTGGAAAGATCTTGAAGGATGTGTCCTTAGATTGTATGTAATAGATTCTTGGGTAAATAGGAAGGAAATAATTTTGCCATTTATGTGAATTCGTGTAAGTTGCTTTTTTTATTGTCACAACTTACTTAATTTCAGTGATGCTAATTTTACACCTTCTGTTTTGCAGAATCTCAGTTAACAGCAATAATGTCCAGTCTTTACTAGATGCAGCAAACCAGTATCAGATTGAACCTGTGAAAAAAATGTGTGTGGACTTTTTAAAAGAACAAGTTGATGCTTCCAATTGTCTTGGTAAGAGAGGTAGACTTAAATTTGCTATTTGTTTTTTAACTTTGCTGTATTTTCTGTCTGTGGATAGCCATAACACTTGGCTAAATCCAGGCATGTAAAAATAATTTTTCTTTGAATCTGAATTGTTGCCCCTTGCCACAGAGTCTGCTGACTGTGCAAGATATCATCCAGCTTGGTAGGATGCTGGAGCTTCTTGTTTGTTAGAGAGCTGCATGTGTTTAGTGAGGTAGAGCTTTCAGTTGTTACTGTACTTGCAGACAGAATTTTACATGTTTGTAACTTTTACAAAACTAGCATATCTTTTACAAGTATAAACAGAGTAAGATTAGGCTACTTTTGGTTTTGTTCACTTTTTATTTTGACTGAAGGCAATGAATGTTATCTGGGCAGGTTTGATATCATGTTCTGTAGTTCAAATGTGGACTGGGTGTTACAGAAAAAGTAAAAAAAATAGAAGTACATACTTTTTCATGCTTAAGACTTGGTGCACTTTATATAATGAGAAATTTAAGAGAAACTTTTTTCGTGTTTTTTATTGTCATTGTTAAGTAATTCCAGTAACATCTCAATCATATTACAGATGTTTATAGCAGCAATGGAAATGTTTTGCAGAGTATATCTGAATTACAGTGACTCAGCTGACACTTCAGTGCTGTACAGCTGCAGCTCTGAAACAGCTGCTGAAAGAAAGACACTACCTAAGGAAATTACCACTTAGGCTTGCTTTGAGGCAAATTTCTGCACTGTGGCTTCTGTTAGGTGGAAAATGAATTTTGCTCTCTAACACTTCCATATTTTGTTGCTAATTTATTGCAAAGAGATTAAAACAAATTTTCCTTAAGGTATTTTTTAAAAATTAAAGCATGTTTTATGCAGACTCATAAGCAAGTACACAGTTCATTTTTTAAAAAGTATTTGAAAGAAACCATGGCTTAATTTGAATATTTAAATATTGTCATGTATGTGGATTTTACCTTTCTAGTTTGCATTTTACTATTCTGAGCAGCTCAGACTAATTGCAACCCATATGTTAGTGAGTTGCTCCTACCCCAGGTGCCATTTCCTTTGAGAAGGAAGACTGTGGCATGAGGAGAAGTTGCTGCTGAAAAGCTCTGTGCTTACATGGTTTTAATGGCAAAGTTGGCAGTGGTGCTTCTCAGCTGCTGTTTGTACCTTTATGCCAACCTTCTGTCCTTCCAGCAATATCAGCTTGACTTTGTGTTGATCTGCAGCTGACTGTCCTAGATCTATAGAAAGATCCCAGTTCACCATGACTCTTGAAGGAAACTGGGCTTGGTTGGGGCTGATGGTGCATGAGCAGGTCAGGAGAGGTTGTAAAACATGGATCCAGTTTCCCAAGCTGTTCTGGTTAGGTGTGGTTAGTGTGGCTTGGCTCAGACTTGGTTAAGGTACTGTTGTCTGCTTTGTAATTGGGAAAGTGAGGAAATAGTGCTGGAGAGACAGTTAATACAGCAAGTGTTGCAGGTCTGAGTCTCCAATTAGTTCAGTGGGAATAGGGATCAGCAGCTTGCCCCTGACTTAGTTTGCCTTGAATTGCAGGTGAGTTATGATAGCATGTGTTTTAATGGGGGGGAAAAAAGGCATGGTAATAAATATTAAACTGAAATTGTAAATATCACTCAAATTACAGTAATTGTATTCTGGTTTAATATATTAAAGGTAATTGCAGTTCAAGTTTAAAAGGGTTTTTTTCTTAATTTTCCTTCATAGGCATAAGTGTGCTAGCAGAATGCCTAGACTGCCCAGAACTGAAAGCCACTGCAGATGACTTCATCCATCAGCATTTCACCGAGGTTTACAAGACAGATGAGTTTCTTCAGCTTGATGTTAAGCGTGTGACACATCTCCTGAACCAAGATACATTGACAGTGAGGGCAGAAGACCAGGTGAGATCCCTGTTTCATAGCAGCTAAAAGCATTGAACTTAACTATCTTTTTTTAATTAAGAACTGGCTTCAGGTAGTCAAGTATCTCACTGATATTCCTAGAGGATATGATGCACATAGTGCTTGCTAAATTGTGGAGTAAAAGGTGCATCCTAACTTGGTCAAAACCAAATATTAATAAATATTCACATTTCAAGTGTAGGTTATAGATGTGTTGTTTCAGCAAAGTTGGAAGAAAGAAGTCACAGAGGGAATAAACAGTTTCCTTTGTCAAGGAAGCCTTTGTAGGGCTTCTGATTCAACAGTACATGAGCTAAATTGTTTGTTTTGTAGTGGTTGTTTCTAGACTGGGACTTATGTGCTTTTGGTGAACGTGGACCACTTCAAAGTGATGAGCAAACTGTACCTTAATGGATGCACATTTCTACATGAGTATAGCCTAGCCTGTTCCAGAGAGGCATTTGTGATGGAAACACACACACACACACACATATATATATGTAAATATATATATATATACACACACACACACACACATAAGCCTGGGGAACTGAGGGTTTTGGAAGTAAGATGAGTAAAACACTGAAAACTACACACATTGTCAGTGGTAGATTGCTGGAAGACCCTTATTTAGGAACTGGACATAAAGTTTAGGTGGCTGAAAGGAGCCTGGAGTTCACTCCATTAAAATTTGTAACCTGTGGCAGAAATTACATCCATAGCTGTCCCATTTGGAATGCTTGATTCAGCTTATCAGCTTAGAGCACAGCCCAGAATAATTATTTGCCATTTTGTTCTTCCTACTGCAGGAAAATAGGAAGCATGTAGGTGTCTACACTGCAGCCCAGACAGGTGGTTGTAGCAGTTGAGTGGTAGCTGTAGCTGCTGGGCACTTGTAGCTTCTTAGTCAAAGCTGTTGAAGACAAATTGAAATCTTACCTCTGTAGCTCTGCTGTTCTGCTGTTTGAATTAGGTAATTTAAGTTTGTGTGGGTATGGCATCATGAGTTGACTGATACCTTTGAAGTGCAGCAGAGGGATGCTGTAGCTGAGATGTTGTGTATATCCTCTTGGAAACAGATGTTTTTCTGACTGCAAAGTCTCCATTGACATTGACCTCCAAACAGTAGAAGAATTGATTTGAAGCACTAAGGTTTAGTTATTTGTCTTCCTGTATGGTGATGTAACTTACAAAAATAAGAATTAGTGTATCAGGTGATTGAATATGGTAGTTGGTTTGTTACAGGTATAAAATATGAGTAGTGTCACAGTTCAGCATTCTTGCTGCGTGCTGGGAAAAGTTCAGATCATGGGGTAACATTCTCAGAGCTGGAGGTGTTGTTTGGCTTGCAGCCAAAATGACGTTAAGGATTTACATTCTTGGAGTTCAATTGGTAAGGCAGGATGGTGTGCTTTAACCTGGCAGCAGTGGTAGAAATGTTATGTATTCAGCCTGGCATCATTAAAATTCCTTTAGGAAATTGATAGTGTGCAGTAGGAAGCTACAAAAGTTTGACAGTTGCACTACAGGAATCATATTTCTCAGGAGTACTGCTAGGAAGTTGACATTATACTCTAACTTTTGTTTTGGTGTGGAGCATAGTTACATTTGACAAGAAGGGAAGGTCGCATTAAGTACTGTCTGTCCTATACAATGTTTGTGTTCAAGTCATTCTGTTGAATTTCCTTAGCTGATGGAATTTAGCCTTTAATTATTTTCTTCGCTCTCCCACATTGCCTGGTAATGTTGCAGACTTATAGCTGGGGTGGTCTAGTAGTCCTGAATAATTCTTCCATGAAGTGGCTTTCCATGTCATAGCTTTGTCTCTCAGCACCAGTCACTGTGGCCAGTTTCAGCTACAGGTGTAGGCACTGCCTGTCCTATTGCTTACAGTGAGGTTGTCCTGCTGCTTCAGAGTCAGTGCTACTGGGTAAGCTTGCTGTGTCTGACAGCAGCATGGAAGTGTCAAAATATACATGAAATCCTGGATTTTTTTTATATTTTGCTGACCTGGTGTCCCATTATAAATAGAGCAGATTTCTTGATTATCTTCCCTGGTCTACCTTCCCTGGCCCCTAAGAATACCCATTATCTTTTTCTATGAGGCAGAGAAAAAGAGGAGATGCTCTGGTAAATATATTTGGATACCCAACATGATGATTTATTCAGAGAACCAGTTTATCACCTCAGGAGACTATATCAAGTAGAAATTATTTCATTTCTATGAAAGCATTGCTGATGTTATGGCACAGAACTTGAAGAATATTAGATTTAACCTGGTACAGGAGTTACACACATAAATGTGAATTGTAGATTCATGTTTTCCATTTGGAGGGCAAAAAGTTAAACAGCAGAAGTAGTAGGTTTTTTAATTTTGTAGATGAGATTTATTCAGTGGTTGTGCATTTGTTTTACTTGTCTGAGCATTGTCTTTTTTGGGCTTGGTTGACTTTTGTTGTGGGTTTTTTTGGGGTTGTTTTTTTATTTTGAAAGATGGCAATGGCATCCCCATATAATGAAATGTTAGTACAGATTAACCTCCAGCAGGCATTAGAATCAGTTCATAGCACTAAGGTTCTGTTACTTGTCATGCTGTGTGGTGATGTACCTTATCCCTTTCTCTCCTTGTCTCTTGTTTAAGGTTTATGATGCAGCAGTCAGATGGCTGAAGTATGATGAGTCAAATCGCCAGCCGTACATGGTTGATATTCTTGCCAAAGTCCGATTTCCTCTAATATCAAAGAACTTCTTAAGTAAAACTGTTCAGGCTGAACCACTTATTCAGGATAACCCAGAATGCCTTAAAATGGTGATCAGTAAGTTGACCTCTAGCTGAAATCTTTATGATGTTCTATATAATTTTAAAAATGCTTCAAAAATTTTTGAAAATTGTTTGCTTTAAAATGCTCTAACATTTTTACATTAAATCCATCTGTTTCCTCTAGAATGCTGTGTTTAGTTGAAGTTGGATTAGCAGATTATTATTTAAATAAAACTCATCTTGTGTAACAGAGTGACTTTCATTTGTTTTCTCCTAGCAAATGGCATGAACTCCATGAGAAGTAATGGAATGGAGATTTTGTCAATGACTCCTTAGGGTAACTGAAAGTTAGCCTGCCTTTGTGACAGGCTTGTAACTTCAATATTTTTCATGTTCATATATGCATAAATAAAAGAAATATGTCAACATTTTGAGTAGTTTAAAGCTTTCCTAAGCAAATTATAATTTTAGATGTGTGTTTTACTGGTTTTATCTATTATATACTGACCATTGATTCTACAATGATTGATCATATATTTGCACTCTCAGGTGCAGATGAAACAGGAAACAAGCTTCTCTTTTGTTTTTAGACAGCATTTGTAAAATTTTACCATGTAAGAAAGGAAAAATAATTTCAGTAGCATTTAACTAGTTAGCTTCAATTTAGTGTAGATCTAAAAATCAGTACACAACTGTTTTCCTTCGGACTCAATGAACAGGATTCAAATTAACCTGTATGTTGGTAAGTATCCGCTGACATTTGACATCAGAGTCATAATTCTTGGGTGACACCAAGAAGGTGTCATTGTATAGGAAGTAAGGGTTTTTGTCTGGCTTTACTGACTTGTAATGCCACCAGTATTTTTGTTTGGGCTTGCTTCCTTTTGACTGTTTCAATGCAACAATCTTAATTGTTTGTTAATACTGGCTAAATGAGCTGATTAATCCATTAGTACATAACATGAGTCTGTATCTGTCCTGTGTTCACATGGAGCAGCCTGTTTGGAATAGGGTATAAATCTGGATGTGTCCTCCCACCCTCACATGCTGCTGTGCATTCTTCCATTTTGAATCAAAGCTATATGGATGTAATGTACAAACTTCATTTTCCCCTTTTTCTTCCTTTCCAGCTCTCCCCCATCCCTGCCTCTGAAACCTCTCTATCCATGTATGAGCTACACTGGATCTGCAACAGTTGTTGTCTTCCTTGCAGGTGGGATGCGGTACCACCTCCTTTCCCCAGAAGACCGAGAAGAGTTAGTGGAAGGAACCCGACCAAGAAGAAAAAAACATGATTATCGCATTGCTTTGTTTGGAGGCTCTCAGCCCCAGTCCTGCAGATATTTTAATCCCAAGGTAATCGTTACCTCAGAATGCATTAAGATTCACTGTTTGTAATCTTACCTGTTTTTTCTGCTGGTGATATTAACTAAGATATAATGATCTACAAAATGGTCTTAGGAAGAAAATATTCCCTCCCTCCTGGGTGTACAGTGGGAGGAATATGGTTAATTAAGTATTTTTAAGTCTGTGTACCTAGATGTAATACTCCATTTTGAACAGAATGATTGTGTTTGTTTCTTAGCAATATTAGATATGGAGAACTGATCAATCTGTCTGAGTTGAGCATTGATTGGTATGTGCATTTCTCAGCTGCAAATAAACAAAAGGCCACTAAACATCACATAATTGGTTAGGAATATATGAAAGTCTGTATGCATGTGCATGCATTTAGGTGTTTAGCCATTAACTCAAAGCAGGTTTTTTTAGCACATGTTAATTTACTGGCTTGTATGTTAGCGTAGAACCCAGTTTTTATTCAGTTTTTTTAGTGCATTATAAATATGCAACCACTTCTAAATCCCAATGGTTCACAGTTTTGTTTGTTCTTAAAAGTATATAAGGAGAAGAATGGGGAGCCAAGTATTACATAAGTGGAAGAGAATGGGTTTTTACAACAAAAAAACTTAGAGATTATCAATTTAGAGCAAGCAAGTTATGCCTGAAATTTGTTCCTATGTTTCTTGAATAAAATCCAGTCACAGGAATGGTGTATATTTCAGCTATGCAGATTAAAGGATCTAAAAACATCAACTGCATGCAGAAGGATTACCCATACCCTGTTTTACTAGGCAAGCACATACAGTAATACAGAGCAAATTTGCTATGTAAATATCAGGGCTCTCATAAGTTATGAGATCCCATGCATGTAATATTTTGTTGAAGCATATTAAATGCTTGTTAAAATTTCAAACAATTTGTGTGCTGTGTGAACTTCATAGTCAATGTAAGCCTATCAAATCTAATTTTGAATGAATGAGCCTTTGGAATGTGTTTTGAACTTTTCTTTCACATTCCCTTTGTAAGATAAAATTCAAGCCACCTTCTCTGAGTGCCACTCAAGTCTGGGGGGTAAAAACCCCAAACCTACCAGCTTTGCTGACTTAGCTTGAGAGACACTTAATATGTATTCCTATTGGGAATTCAAAATTCTTAACTAATGACTGCCTTTTTCCCTTACACACATACTCAAGATAAGCAGCACTTCAGCTGGCAGTAAGGAGGTGAGGGGTACAGACCAGATAATTCTCTCCTTTCCAAGATCTAAGTTTGGGAAGCCTTTAATCAGGCCATTTGTAACTTTTCAAGCAGTTGCATGGATTTGACAAAGAAATCTGTTTTGTAGACAAAGAGTAATATCTGTGAAAGTCTACATAAAGCACAGGATAAAAGAGCTGTACCTTTCATAGACTGCTTGTCCAGATATAGCACCAAAAAATAACTGAATTTGGAAGAAATTTTGAAGAATTGCCTCTTAATCAAGACTTACGGCCTTGCATGTGGAATAAGGAGTGGGGGGACAATGGGGCAGGAAAATTTTAGAAGTGGGTAATTGGAGAGCTTTATTCTAACAAGCATGTGTTCCTTCAATGTTTTCCTAGTACTTATATGCTTTCTTGGATACTCTTAGCTAGCCTGTCATGTCTTGTTGAACAGCCCTTACTTAATTTCCAACTCTGAAGCTTTTTAAAGGTCCTTTTCTGGATGTTTTGCTTGAGTTCAGACAATAATTTATTAAATGCAACAAACCAAGGATCCAGAACCCCTGCTGAATTACTATTTAACTCACTTTAATTGGTCTCATCAAAAGATGATGGGAGAGTCACAGAACAGAGGATTAAGCTTGTGTATGTACTTTTGCAAGGTTGAACCTTGGGAAAAATTGGAATTTTGCTTGTCTTTTGAACTGATTGAATAGTGACTTAGTCCTTCACTTCTGATATTAATCAAAATCAGAAATTGAATTAAATTGTTACATGTCACATAAACAATTCAAAACAGATGTTAAATTTATTCCTCAAAATATTTTCTTGGTTGCAATATAAGTTTCCATAGCTGTTATATGATAAAACTAGTGCAGAAATTTTAATTTTCACTGGTTCCTTTGCACACAAAATTAGTCTCTAATGCTGATAGTAATTTCCTTGTTGTTAGAAGGGTTCCTTAAATAAGACTGGATTGGATACTGTGTTTTATTTGTTGAGAATGCTAGCAGTATTATTTAAGACTGTATTTGTTCTCTTTGTTGCACTGTAACTGGTATTTCTATTGATGCATGTTCTTCATCAAGAAAACAAAATGATGCAACAGGACAGATGCAGATGGGCATAACACTTGTGGAGCAGTCTGGCACTAATTTGAGTAGACATACATGATTTCAGAATACTACTAGAACTCCTAGATGTTCTGTTAACAGTTGTGGGAAGCATTTTTTTGTTGAATTTTTCACAGAATTAAAAAAAAATCCCTAGGTTGGGAATAAAATACTTGTTGTTTTATTTTATGAACTGTCAGTACAGAATTTATATATGATTGAGATTTTGTGTCAGCAATATGCTTATTCTTTTGAAATTACTATCTCTAGTGGCCAGAAATGGTTGGAAATTCTAAATTCTCAGCAGTGCAAAATTCAACAATGGCAAATAAAAAGTAACAGATCCCTGGCAATGCTATTTCTTGATGAGCAAGGAAACCAGCATACCTTTTATGAGGAGATAGAGCTGTAGTCAGTAAGCTATTAGTGGGGAGGTTGCCTACAGTGGGCCTGTCTGCTGGTTTTTATGACAAACTTGGAAGAAGAATCAATTGAAAATGAGGAAACGTCTTAGAGAAAAAAAGGTACTTTTTCACAGGGCTCGTAATTGTGTGTGCCATTCTTGTCACAGGGTCTTGAGGCTCTCAGAAGTTCAGGTAGTTTTAATAAGTGATTCAATAAATTGATGAAAGAGAAAAAGTTACAGCTTTTGGCTCTGGTGTCCTGCATTGCAACTTGATGGAAACAGAGATCAGCAGGGAAAGAGTCCCCATATACTTACTGTATACTTCTCCATCGTTCCCTACTCAGTCCCCGAGAACGGAGACTTGCACTGCCCAGGGCTGTGTGGATCTTAACTGTGGTGTAAAGCAACACTTCTGCATAATTCTTAAATATGTTAAATTCAAAAATTGAACTAATTCTATGTGGTACAGACTAACATCGAAGAGCATTGCAGGAGGATGACCTAAATTGCCTCCTGCTGAAAGAGGAGGATACTGCTGAGTATACTCAAGTTATGGCTTTTCATTTGATAAAGGTACGGATGAAATGGATACATGAATGGAAGCCATAAAAGTGGGTCAGGTCACAGCCCTTTATAACAGTAAAGGAAAACAACAGGATATTTTGTAAAATTGCCAGAAGTTTGAGCTAGAAAGTAATGTTGATCTTACACAATGCACTGAGACATTTTCTTAAGATTTATGCAGCTATTTATTTTGCCATGCTGTAGTATGGCTTTCCTTTCTAGGATGCCCCAGGACCTGTTTCTCACCATAAAGGGCCACATGCAGCTGACAGCTCTTCTTGATATGGGGGATGCTACAAGAAAAGATTGTAAGATGTTCTGGACTATAACATGCTCTGCCTCTCTTTCTTTGAACCCCCATGTAGGAGTCGCTGTTCTTCCTCATTGACCAAGGTGTTTGAAGTATGTCCTTGCTAAGAAAATGTAATGATGTAACGTCTTGTGTGAACCATTACAGTGAAGGTCATTCAGCAGGTTGAGGTAGACCTTCTTGAGGTGGCACAGATAACAGTTAAGGTCCCATACTTTCCTGTTCAGTATAGGATTCAAGCTATGCTCATGGAATATGTGAGATGCTATTACTCAAGAAGTGTTTCTTGTGCTGTATGATATCCTGGTCTGCCATCAGTTGTTGAGTTTGGTGTTTTTAAGGCTTTGGGCATTACTGCTCATATTTTATACTTGCTGATTTTGCCAATCTATGCAAAATCAGTTTCTAGGCATCATAACTGCCAGTATTTGTGATGGAGCATTATCCTATTTCTCATGCTATCAACTGTGGATAGCTATAGAACATTTGTGTTTTGTAAATTCTGTAAATAAGCTTCTAGTTGTCATGGTAATAAAGTATGTATCAGAGCTTTTTTACTGAGTTGCTTGTCAATTTGGGTATTATCTTATTTTTCCGTTGTCTTTTATTTGGTACATTCTGTATTTTATTATTTTTAGAAAGAATCTGTTACCATATGTAAGATGTCTTCTTCCATTGCTATAAAAGAAAATGCAATCCTACTTTTTTGGTTACATGCATTGTTTCTAACATGATAGCAGCAGGAGGTCAATTGTGTTGGAAAAAACACCAGTACAGCTTTTCAGGGAAGCTGTACTGAGTGCACACAGGGAATATGGAAATGGAATTTCTTAATGTCATGGTTCATTGCAGCTAACTATGTCTGTGTCTAAGAGAATTTTTCAAGAGTACGCCTGAGGAGTATTCTTCAATAAACGGTGTTCTTGTTTGTTTTGAAAAGGAACTTAAAACTGACCATATCTAAATCTCTATGAAAAGCTCTGTTTGAAAACACTCACTGTACAGGTAAGTGTTATAATCTATTAGACATTACTTGTTCTTTGTAATGCAGGATTACAGCTGGACAGACATCCGATGTCCCTTTGAAAAGCGCAGGGATGCAGCTTGTGTCTTCTGGGACAACGTAGTTTATATTTTGGGTGGTTCCCAGCTCTTCCCTATAAAGCGAATGGACTGCTACAATGTGGTGAAGGATAGCTGGTATTCCAAGCTAGGACCTCCAACACCTCGAGATAGCCTTGCAGCCTGTGCTGCTGAGGGCAAAATTTATACATCTGGTGGTTCAGAAGTGGGTAAGACACTAAAAATCTTTAAAACAAACAAAAAAGCACAAAGAAAGATGGCTAGAAATTTTTCTGGTTTTTTTGCATGATTTTGTTGACAAGAAACTGCACGTTGCCATGTTAGCCTAATGAGTTTATTTTCCCATATTTAGGATTTTATCCCCCTTTGCCCAGTCCAACAACCTATTTCTGTTGTGTTTTGAAAATGGTTTCACTGATTGAAATGAATAATATTTACATTAACTGGAATAAAAAAATACACTGCCACTCTTAAGTTAAATAGGGACAAGATTGGATGGAGATGTGAGCAACCTGATCTAGTGAAAGGTATCCCTGTCCATGGCAGAGGGATTGGAAATAGATGATTTTTAAGGTCCCTTCCAACCCAAACCATTCTATGATGGTATGATTCAATGAAATATATTTTGTGAGTCCCACTCTTATCTTTCTTCTCTAAATCCAGAGAATTCAGTGTAATTTAAAATTTTCTGGAATGCATGACCAGAATAACTGCATTTTGACAATGGCCTTCCTTTTATACAGCATATGTTGGGCCTAATGAAGTCTTTTAAAGTGGAGGGAGGGGGGGAGTGGAAAAGAAATCTTTTAACACTTACTGCTTTTGGTGGTGAAATTGTACTTGATCCTGTAAAGGAATTTGTCCAATTTTTCTGTCAAATGACAGAAGTTATCTTCTGTTATTTTGTTATTCTGTTGGCTTGCTTCCACAAATGGAGAAATGATACTTCCTTTAGATGTTACTATTCAGCATAGTGGGGAAAAAAGTAATAAAAGACCATTGGGATTTTTTCTGTCACCAAAAAGCCTAGAAGGTGACTTATACTGTGGTGTTGCAGGAACATTTTATTTTGACACATCAACAACCCAAAGGTTGAAATGCAGGCATGGTATAGCCATAAAAATAGCTGTGGTACTAAAGCTGCGTTCTGGGGAATAAAAACAAATGGGAAGAAATCTAGAAGGAAGATCCTTTTGAGGTCTGCCTTGCTGCAGAGGGAGGTGAACAGAGGAAAAAATTGTCATGATCAGTGCTTAACATTCATAAATCACTTAATGGAGTTTATAACATTTAGGCCATGTTTTCTGACCTCTAAAATATATTAAGAGGTTTAATCAGAATAAGCAGTTCCCAGCTGCCACCTCGTGTGGTGAATGTGAAATAGCACCTTTCCCATTACTTGAAATAGGCTTAACTAAGGCCACATTGGGCAACTTGGAATGCTACATCATCTCATAAATCTTCACAGTTTCCCATGTTTCAATTCATGGCAAATAACAATAAAATTTTTTGATTGTACAGTATATTTTCTAATTCATGGTGAATAGTTAGTGCAACTATAGTTGAAGTTTTAATGTAGCAGTTTTCTTACAAATACACCCTCACATTACTGCACAGTTTCACTTTGCTTTCCATAAATATTAATCAAGACAGAATAGTAAAAGCTAAACATAAATAATGGAGTATAATTTGCCTGTACTTATTCTTCAGAATTCAGTGAATATGAAATTCTGTATCTCCTGAATCTAGTATTTTCTAGTTTGAAGCAGGCAATTATGTTGAAAGCATTAATCTGATAAAATGCTGCAGTATGTTTAGCTGTAAAGAAATCTAAAAATTGCATGTTTTTTCCATCAATTGAAGAGGTTGGATTACTGTGCCAGTCCATTACAGACAATATGGCTCATTTCCCCTTCTTGAATTGATGGGAGTCCTGTTCTATTTGCAATAACTAACAGACTTTGGAAGCTAAACATGAAGATCCTTCCACTCTTGTTTCAGTGCAGGAGAAATACTTAACATTATACTGAAAATGAAAGCTTCTATTTGTTTAAAACAAACAAACAAGAAGGATGGGTCTGCTAGATTTTCCATGGATGGGAATTTCTACAACTTCAAAGCAATAAAAATGTCTATTTACATCAAAGAAAATAATGTCCCACTCTATACAGTTTTTGGTGATACTGAGAATGTCAGGGTAGAAGTGAACAAATGCACACATTATAGGAGAGTGTGTTTATAGGATTAATTTTGGGTCTGGAAACAGCATCCTGTTGAAGGTTCAAATCCTCACCTGGTAGTAAGTGCTGCTAGTGTGCCATGCTTAATTTTTAGAAGTAGAAAGCCAAAGTAAAACAGACAGAAGATAACGCACTTTTAACTGTTCTAGGTGAATATATCTTTTGAAAAAAAGAGAAGAAGGATGTGGTTCTGTTCTGAGAGAGTTGTATTCAGCCTTCCCTGCCTTGGCTATGATTTGGTCTCTTACCTGAGCCTGAGTTTTGAGCCCATATCTGTCTTCTTTAGAAAAATTACTTTTGATTTCAGTAGTAGTTATCCTGGCTTTGGAGGGAAGAGTACACAGACCATTCACTTCTAGGCAATGAGTATCTACCAGTCCTCAGAAAGAAAGTAAATTGGGCAGAGATAGCTGTTTTGTGGTTGCTGACAATTCCAGGAGTATGTTATGGCATAAGCTATCAAATTCCAAAGACAACAAGTGTTCTGGATATTGGACAAGTCACATTTTTTAGAGGAAAAAGACTCATGAACCTGTAGTGTGAGTTTGCAATGCTGGTTTCATCTTCATATCTGAAAGTTCGATATATTTCCAAGTAGAAAGAGTAGCATGAGCTGATGACAATGGGATGGGTAATTTATATATGGCTCTGTTTAGTATTTATTCCCCTCCAAGAAAAAAGAAAGAATATCTTTTTTCTTGTTGTTTTTGAACACAAATAGCAATTTCATAAACTTACTTGCATAGTTTGGAACAAAAGAATCAAAATAATTACAAGCATGTACTTTCTGAGTAATCCCAAATTTAAAGCTGGTTAATTCTACTTTTGGAGGCGGGAAAGCTGCTTTCCCTTTTCCTAACAAAGCATCAATTTGATAATTGCTGTTAGAGACTTCTCTTGAAAGACAACCACAAAGATTAATGCCACTTTGATGGGTTTCTATTTTTTTTAAGGCAATTCTGCACTGTATTTATTTGAGTGCTATGACACAAGAACAGAGAGCTGGCACACAAAGCCCAGCATGCTGACTCAGCGCTGCAGCCATGGGATGGTGGAGGCGAATGGGCTCATTTATGTATGCGGAGGCAGCCTGGGAAACAATGTTTCCGGAAGAGTCCTGAATTCCTGTGAAGTTTATGACCCAGCCACAGAAACGTAAGTGTTGTTTTAAGTCAGGTTGGTTTTAGTCGCTTGTGTGCTAGCTCTGTAAATGACTGAAGTGTAGATGACTACAGGAAAAACTCTGGTAAGGAATTTTCCCTGAGTCAGCATTAAGAAATCACTACTTGAAAGATGTTTTTCTTAAGCAGCATTCTTTGAAATTTTGTTTTCCTACTGATAGGTTATGCTTACTTTCTATGGACCAGATGGTGATTTGTCCTTTTTTGTTTGATTTGTTTTCCCCAGGTGGACTGAACTGTGTCCAATGATTGAAGCCAGAAAGAATCATGGGCTGGTATTTGTAAAGGACAAAATATTTGCTGTGGGTGGACAAAATAGTTTAGGTACTTTAATTCTATTAATTCTCTGTCTGGTCACACAAGGTTTCATGGGATTGTTTTTCTCTTTTGGAATGAATTCATTCCACTCTGTTCAGCTGAAAAGCTTTGAGTAGCACCATCAAACATGTAGTCTTGTTGTCACATCAGTGTTGCCTTCTTCATTTCACCTCCCTGCTTAACTGTTTCTTATTTTTCAAATTCTTGTACTAATGATAGTCAAGTTCAGATATGCACCCCTACTGTAGCCCAGTTCTGAAGTAATTAATATGGCTAAACCAGGCATCTAAGAAGTTTGGGGTTTTTTTGGGGGAGGGGGCTTTTTTTAACATTACCCATATGTTTTCAGAGATTTTAGCATTCTTTTGAGAGACAGATAAAGGTGTAGCCACTATTTTAGGAACTTTAGTCTAAAGACTTAAATCTAGTCCGGTATTGTAAAATGGTGAAAATGTGAGACCTCTTTTGACTGTTCTAGCTTTGAAATATGATTTACTGTCAGGGCCAGGTCAATTATGATCTGCCTGTCTCCTTGTCCTTAAAACTAGTAGAATAATACCTTACAAGAAGAATAGAATTATAATTGCACAGGGTTTCTGAAATGCTTTTCAAAATGGAAAATTCTCATTTATGAGGTTTTTTTAATCACTATTTACGGTAAGTGGAATTCTTCATTTCAGATGAATGCTATTTTAGGATATAGCTTGATTTTTAATTGGCTACTGAAACTATTCCATTGTGATTGATTCCTAATGCAAAAATAATAGATACATTTATTGCACAAACACTTCATCAATCCGTAATCTGCCATCTTGCAAAATATAAGTGTATTCACTGAATGTTCCTCTTAGAAGTGTTAAAATTGTTCTTACTGTAATAAAATGAGGATGAGCTATGTCTGGGTTGGAAAACTCATATCTATGAATAGGATAGAATGATTTCTTAATCTCTCAGATCTAATAATTCAGTCCTGGAAATGAAAACTGAGTTAAATAGGGACAGCAGCATGTTTGTAGCTATTGTCAAGTGTAATTACTAGCATATTTTCTGAATAAGTAAATCTTAGCCACAAAATCTACTCTTCTCTAATAACTTCTGGTTTCTTTGGCCCTTTTCAATGAGACTTAAGCTTTTACACTCCAAAGATTTTAGTATCATCATGACGAGAGACCTCCTCTATCAGTAAATTGCCAGTTTTGGTAAAAGTACCCATGAGCCCTCTAGAATGAAATGCCATTGCTATAGGGAAGTTTCAGGTGATTAATGAGTTTTAGTCACTAGCCCCAAATCCATCAGAAATTCAGCACTGAAAGTTCTTTTCATGAAGTAACATGTTGGAATCTGTAGAAAGCATCTAGTGTGAATTTGTGATAATACATCTTACTTTCTATCTCCTTTTCACTGTTCTCTGGTTTTTTATTTATACAAGGATAAGCTGCTAGTTTGGAAACTGGGGTGTATTTTCCGATTTGCTTTTAAGTGGAGGGTTTTTGAAACCTTGAAAATAAAGGCTTCAGTTTGCATGCTCTAGTGCAGTCCATGAAGTGCAACATAATAAGCAGTTATCTATCTCATTGCTTTGTAGGTGGCCTTGATAATGTAGAATATTACGATATCAAGATGAATGAATGGAAGATGGTGTCTCCAATGCCATGGAAAGGTGTAACAGTGAAGTGTGCTGCTGTGGGATCTATAGTCTATGTCCTGGCTGGTTTTCAGGGTGTTGGTCGCTTAGGGCACATTCTTGAATATAACACTGAAACAGACAAGTGGATAGCCAACTCCAAAGTCCGTGCTTTCCCAGTGACAAGTTGTTTAATCTGTGTTGTAGACACTTGTGGGGCAAATGAAGAAACTCTAGATATCTGAAGACTGTAGGAGATGCTGAGGCATTCTTCAAGGACTTGGGAAAAGATGGTTATCGGTGCTTTGCTTCCATGTTTTACTGAATCATATTAAATTTAGTAACAGGAAAAAGAATGAGATGCAGACTTTCAATTTGTATATACAGCATATTGTATAATGTGGATTTTGTCATGCCCATTTTCTTGTCTGTTTTAAAGAGATGGGGATGTGTTTTGAGAATCCACTTACCTAGGTGATATCACGTGGCATCTTCTTTTAAAAGGACTGTGAGTGTGGCCTTGTCAGAGACCCAATCCAAATATTTAGAATGCATCTCAAGCATTTGATAAAGAAAAAATTCTGGTTAAATGACATTTTACCAAGATCAGTTGCAGAGATGTTTCCTTTAATGAAGGTGAGTAAATACAGCTTGGCTCATGAGAAAGATGAGCGATTTTTTCTCCTTCATACCTACCTGCAGAAATCTTACTGGGATGAAATGAAGATATTTTCTCAGGAAAGACCAAGGACTGCTGTCTAATAAAGATTCCCAATGTTTCAACAGCTCCCTAGGTCATGATAGCTGCCCTCTTCCAGTGAGTTTCTTCCGTCATTTGCATGACTCCTTATCAGTTTTTTAAGGTTAGAGAGGCCATACATAAAAATTAGAGAAACACTTTGATGGTCTCTTTGGCATTTTGTGAAGCCTTCACAGAAAGACTTTTTGATTATTTTTTTTTTTTTTAATTACACTGAGGTAGGGAATGGTGGGGCAAGTCGACGACAATTGTGCACTATAATTAGCAAGTTGGAAACTTGGAAAGAAATTTCAAATCTATCTTCCTAGGCATCAGACTGTACATACTGTAGATGCCAAACCATTAGCAAACATGGGAACGGGAATGAGAAAAGCAAAGTCAATACAACAGATATATTGATTTTCTTCTTGAAAATGACTGTTTTTAAAATGGCATGAACCAAGTAATTAAAGATACTTTACAGAAGTCTTCAGAAGTTGCGCATGGTTATTCATCTCTGGTTTAGAAGCACAGAGTTCTGTAAATGCTTCCAGCCCACATGATGGTAAATTTATTCACACAGCCTTAAAGTCCAGCCTCTCAAGCTCTGGGTGTCATCGACATTGTGTGCCTCTTCCCGGTTCTGGAAAACTATACAAATGACATCTGTCCTGCTCCCATGCTAGTTTATTCATAGCTGCATCGTAGTTTCACCACCTATCTTCTAACTTGCTGATTTTTTCAGGTCTGTTTCTATGAGACTTAGTGAGTTAACTTCAAAAGTTGGTGCTTGCCTACCTCTGCCTTGCTCCTGCTGTGGATGTTTAGTCTATTTTAGTTCTGAAGTTCCTCCAGCTTCTAAGTAAATCCTGTTTTTTTCAAAGTCAATGATTCTTTGTAGACTTGCTCCTCATTTCCTTCCTCATCCTGACAACTCTGCCTGTACGGACAGGACTAGATGCACTCATGGCCTCCATTGTGGTTCCTGCAACTTCCTTCTTTATTCAGCAGTAAGTGAAGGGCGTGTGACTTTTTTTGTTTTCCCTTGCCTTTTCACTTCTCCTGGCCACGAAACGTGTCCCTGGTGTCTCCACTCCTTGATTCCGAGCTACTGGAATTGTGGAGGGAATTGTGTGCCCTTTAGACTGGGACAGGCTCTTTTATCTGTTTTACATCCGCTTTTAAACTCACGGCCCCCGTTGTCGCCGGGGGTGAATAGCCCCGGCCCGCCTGGGCGGCGGCAGCGCGGGGTGAACGCGCTCGTCCTTCGGCTCCGCGGGGCTGCGGCCGCCTCGGGCCGGCGCCGGGAGGGGCAGCCCCGCTCCGGCAGCCCCGCTCCGGCAGCCCCGGGAGGGGCATCCCCGCTCCGGCAGCCCCGGGAGGGGCATCCCCGCTCCGGCAGCCCCGGCCCCCCGTGCCCGAGCGGCGGGCGGGGCGCGGGGGCTGCGGGCGGCTCCGGACCTGCCCCGCTGCCCGCCCCGGCCGGAGCTCCGGAGCGGAGCGGGCCGGCCGGGTCTCGGCTGGGGCTGTCCGCGGCAGCCTCTGGTTCTGCACTGCAGGGTTGGGCCATGGGGCCGTGGGACACCAGTCCGGGCACCTGAGCTGCCCGGAGCAGCGTGCAGCAGCCGCGCGTTGTTTCCATTCTCACCGGCTTCAGCAGCTCTGGAAGGCGAAGGATTAAACGGAGAGCCGAAGGCTGCGGTTGCCTGTCTATTCCTGCTCAAAGAGCCGGCGTTTCCCAATTCATCTGGGGAATTTGCATCTCTGGAGTTCTTTAATGAATCCTTCGTGTCTCCGAGTGTAGCTGTTTCAGGACAAGACAATGTACCAAGGCCCATGGCTTTTTAACTATGGAGGGTGGTTAGAAGTATTAATCGGTTTTCTTGGAAGTTTTTGATTTTTCCTGTCCTTGCAGGCTTTTCAGATGTCTTCTTTCAGAAGAACTGAATCTGGAGTACTATGACAGCAAAGAGTAAAACTGGAAAATGTGTAAGCAGTTTAAAAATGATGACTCATGGGGACAATCTTTGGGATAAGACTTGTTACCAATCTTCAGGTGGCAACTCTTGACTTATCTCCCAACTCCAGGAGATTATCAGAATGCCAAAATATTTTTCAATTCCTGTGCACCAAAGAGAATGCCAAAATAGCAGCAGGTCCACATGGTCTACGCTACCATCATCTTTTTGCCTGAGGTCTCTCTCAGAATATCAGATCTGATATTGCTCTTCATGTAAAGACATAAAAATTTGATATAAGGGCAACAGTAAGAGTATTTAAAGGAATCTTGTATTAATATCAAGAAATTAATCTTTTCACCTCGAAATAGAAGGAAAGCAAAATTCCTCTGTTGGATTTGTGAAGTTTCTTCTCTAATTCTAAATATTTTTCTTTGGTTCAGTTGACAGACAAATTTTCTTTTTTGTTTTAATTTTTTTTAAGTCTTCCCCAATAATAAAAATATGCATTTTTCTTCTCTCTCTTTTCAGATAGATGCTGTTGAACTGTAACCACAACAGTGGGAAAACTGGCTGATTCAGTGGAAAGCTTTAAATGCATCAACAAAAGCATCTTTGGTAAGTGTTCACAAATGGCAACATGTCTCTGTGCCTGATGTTACTTTTTAATGGAGTAATTTACATAGATATTAATTATGGTTACAAAGACTTCTGAGATGTGGCAATTGTGATGTGCCACCTGGGCATATTCTATGGACTCCTGAAATCAGTTAATTCCAGGTGCTATTACAAACCCCTTCAGTTAACTGAGGATAAACATGCATAGGGATGGTTCCATGTTAGCAAGGCAGCAGCTGGATCCCAGCTTTGGAATACTCTCATTGCAAGCCACGTGAAAACAACCAGAGCTGAAGTTTGGGATCTGGTTGTGTACATGACTAGGAAGAGGCCCATCCCCACCACACCATTTTTCCCATGTGCTGATGTTGACTCTACCAAGAGAGGATCAGCAGACTGGACCAGAATTCTCCTCCAGGACACCTTAGGATAAATGGAGCATGTGGACAATTGAGAGGTGGATGGGAGAGAATCCCTTTGGATAACATTTGAGGATAGAAAGAGTCATTGGTCCTGGGAAGGTGACAATCACTTGTGAATGGAGATAGTTTTTCAGAAGCAAATGCTTGAATTTCAAGCCCATATGAAAAATTGAGGGAGGCAGAGGAAATGTCTCTCTTTGAGTGCAGTCTGCATGAAGTGCAGGGAAGGTTGAGTAATGTGATCCCAGCCCTTGGTGTGTTCAGAGCCAGAGGTGGACAAGCAGGATTTGGGCTTTACCACAGGAGACAGTAACAGACAAAGATGTGCTGAGGACAGCTGTGAGAGTGAGAAAAGCTGTGCCCTAAATACAGTCACAGAGCACAGGCTAGAACTGAGGTAAGAGGTGAGAATGAGAGCTGCCAGAGGGGATCAGGTCATTGACTGACAGGCAAAAATTGATCAGTTGTAACAGATTTGCATTTCTGGAGGGTTTTACGGAGAAGGGCAGGTATGGCCTTAGAGCACTTAAAGCACTGCAAAAACAGGCAGTTGTGAGGAATGATCACTGTCCAGCATGGTCTGAGTTGGATTCAGTGGGACTGGGCACCTCTGACTTAGTTTCAAAGAGTTACTGAGAGAGAGTTCCCTGTTTTGGAATCTAGTTTTCATGTATGTCTCTGGAATTTTTTCAGCTCTCTGCTTTCAAGACCATGGGCACTCAAGCAGCACCTGCCTTTGGAATGGGAGGACAGCCAACCTCAGGCTTTGGGCTGTCAAGTAAGTTCTCGTTCTAAGAGCCAAACCATTTACACGTTTTCTGTAGTTTGCTGCTGCATCCTTGAAATGCAGCATTTGTTTAGAATCCTTGGGCTAACAATTCTAATATTTTTTGTAAATTCTCTACTCGCAGGCTTTCCTGTGAGCAGCAGCAGCACCAGTGCCAGCAGTTTCTCCTTTAAAACCAGTTCCAGCCTCATCAGTTCAGCATCATCTGGGAGCAGCCCTGCTGCTGATGGGAGGTCTGCTGCTGCTGCAAATCCTCCTGCATTTGGGACAACATCCTCTCCTAGTGCACCCCAATCCGTTGGCTTTGGCAGCCCGGCCGCTCCCTCCGCGGCCTCCTTCTCCTTTAAAGCAGCTGCCACGGCTGGTGGCTTTGGGACTTCTGGCTTTTCAGGCTTTGGCAGTGCTCCTGCTGGGAACTCTGCAAGCACCACTCCAGCAGCCTTTGGGACCTTTGGTGCCACCGTCCCCACTTCTGCCTCACCTTTGTGCGGTGCTTTATTTGGCCAGAGCACCGGTGCCTCCGGACATCCTGTCACCTCAGCGTCTGCTGCAGCCACCACCTCCAGCCCTGCCTCAGAGAAGTTATTCACACCCAAGAGCGAGCTGTCAGCTGAAGAGTGGCAACAGTTTGAAGCAAAGGAGTTCACAATTGGAAAGATTCCTCTTAAGCCACCACCATTAGAACTTTTAAATGCTTTCGACCTTTTAAGTTTATTCTGAAATGTTAATTTTTATTACCTCTCTCAATTCTCTTTGCAGAAATAAATGTACAAGTATAAACTTTTGAACATTATTTTGGGATGGACTTCTTACATCTGTAAGATGAACTGTTGAAACTAAAATGGAACATTTCCTTCTATATGCTGTCCTGTGAAATTCTGTACAAAGACTCTGAAAAATATGTTGTCAAAAGAAAGAATGTTTCAGTCAGGTATTTAGAACCTACTCTTGTATCAATGAATTGTCTCAAAATGTACGCTCTGTGGGTGTAGGATTGGCCATGAAAGCTTTTTTCCCCATTGCCCCAACAACTGGTATTGTAAATTTATTGGTGAGCCCTTACTGATAGTTATTACTGAATGTGTGCCTTTGCTGTCTATCAAAAATCTGGTGTTTTATTCCCCAGCTTTACTGAAACTAGCTGATATGTGAGGGATGCCTCCCTAATTTTCTCCAGTCTCCTTCAGTCATTATCACAATCCTCCAATATCTGAATGATTTCATCTTTAAGTTGACCCTTCCTGTCCAGAAATGGCACATGGATTCAGGTCAAAAGGAGGGGCCATTTCAGACCCCACAACTCCTTCCTATCCTTTTGCCCTTTCTAATGCCATTCTCTTTTAATTCACATTAAAAAGGGGTTCAGTATAGTCTGCATATCCCACCAACTGGGGTTATGAGTCAGCATGATAGTTTCCAAAAGCTGATTCCTTCAGGATTCTCTCATTATGAACCAACAGATAATTTCCAATTCAAAAAATCAAAAGTAGTACAAGGAACTTGTCCAGAAAAAAATGGCTGATGCTCTGCCCCCACTACTTCTCTGTGCTCTATATTTTGAGTTGTATCCTCTTTGTCCATCTCCACTCTGCTCTTATATGGGTGTGGAAAGAAGGGAACTAACATTTGCTCATAAAACCTCATCCCCTTTTTCAACATCCACTGTAAAATAATATTAGACTGCAATGACACATTTACCCTATACTCCAATTTAAAAGTGGCCACCAGTGATGACAGTATCTCTTCTTTATTTTTAGTCACTGTATCTCCTCTAAACACATTCCGGTTTTTGGGGATGCATCCCAGACAGCTGTGAGGAGGAATTGTGGATTGGCAGGCTCTTGTCATTAAATTTAATGGACTTCAAGTTAGGCAATTCTTTTACCCTTAGGTCCAGACCTTCAGTAGTTACATGACTCCAGTCCACCTGATTGGTTACACTGATAAACATACACCATTTGAAAGAGGAACACTAGTGCACCTACCAATCCAAGAATCCTATTCCCCTTTTTGGACTTACTTGAGTCTCTCTGCGGCATTGCACCTTTGAGTTGCTCACCACCTTGATCCCGGGGAGGATTTGATGGAGTCAGTACATGCTGCAGACTTGTCGCATCCAATTCTCTGTTGCCAGTGGAAGCAAGATGGCCAGTCAAGGCTTTTGGCCATGCTGCCTGCATACCTAGAACTCTCAAATATGGATTCTACTGGGTGCAAGAAGCAGATTTGCACACAGAGTAGAGTTTTAGAATATCCTGACTAGGAATGGACCCACATGGATCATTGAAGTCCAACTCCTGGCCTTGCACAAGACCATCCCCAAGAGGCACACCATGTGCCTGAACTCTGTCAGGTTGGTGCTGTGATGATTTCCCTGAGGTGCTTTCTCCAGCACCCAGCCTCTGGATGCAGAATCTTTTTCTAATACCCAACCTAAACCTCCTCTTACACATCTTTAGGCCATTCCCTCAGGTCCTGTCACTGGTCAATGATGAGAAGAAATCAGTGCTTTTCCATCTATTCCTGAGGAGTTGTAGATTGCAACTCAGTCTCATCTTCTCTAGACTGAACAGACTAAGTGCCCTCATCTGCTCCTAATACAGCTTCCCCTCAAGGCTCTTCTTGATCTTCGTTGCCCTCGTTTGGATGCTCTCTACCAGCTTTATATCCTTCTTATACTGAGGTGCTCAAAACTGCCCCCAGGACTTGAGATGAAGCCACCCCAGTACAGAGCCAAGCAGGACAATCCCTCCCTTGCCTGGCTGGTGATGCTGTGCCTTGTGCACAGAGATCTTTGTTACGTGGCTGTTCATGTGGGTAGAGAATCCCTAAATGTAGCACCACCTCTGTGTGCCAGCCAGCCATTTTTATACACTTTAAACAGCAACAGCTCAACATCTCCAAGCTATACTGTACCTACAGTGAGAGGACTAGAGAAAATGGCCTTAACCTGAGACAGGGGTGATTCAGATTACATATTGGAAGAAACTTTTTCACTGTTAGGGTGGTCAGGCATGGGAATAGGTTTCCCAGGGAGATGGTGGAATCACTGTTACAATATGTGGTACAATTTTCCTAAGAAAGGATGTTGTTTAATGCTTGATCTTTATCTATTTTCAAGCCTAATGAACAAGAAGGGAGATTTAATCCCTGAAATAGATAGCAGCTGGCATGCTTTAAATGATGCTCATATGGTAGAAAAACAAACTACTTGTAGACAGAATTGCCTTGTTAGGGTTCAGGGCTGGACATACTTCACTGATCTCAGACCTGGGTGAGGTTAACAAAGCTTGGGAAGAAGGATGTATCACTGATTGTGGACACCAAGAATGCAGAATTTACATGCCACAAGAATATTTGTCAGAATCCCTAAGATAAGGAAGAAAATAATAAAAACAACTCAGCAACTGTGCCTGATCTCAGACCTGGGTGAGGTTAACAAAGCTTGGGAAGAAGGATGTATCGCTGATTGTGGATACCAATAATACAGAATTTCCATGCCACAAGAATATTTTTCAGAATCCCCAAGATAAGGAAGAAAATAATAAAAACAACTCAGCAACTGTGCTGACACCAGCTCTGACTGGGTAAAAGATAATTCCAGCAGGGGGATCTGCAACCACCAGCTCATGGACCACCAACCCAAGAAACCCATGGGCCCACAAGGAGAGAGACTGAGAATGTGGACTAATTGGCATGAGAACTGAGAGAATAATTAACTAATAGAAGCTAGAATATGAATTAGTAAGAGAGCTATGTAACTTGTAGGCAAGGAATGCTAATTCCTTTGTTTGCTAAAATGTATAAATAGCAAAAGGTTTTGATAGCCGGTGTGCTTGATTTGTGGAATGCCATCTAGCACTGGGCTTGTGCAACTGAAATAGAGAGTCTTTCAAATGTGTAATTATTGGTATATCATTGGGTAATGAATGCAATTTTTGCAAACATCACCATCCCTGGGGGTATTAAGAGGCACCTGGATCTGCTGGGTGATGTGGTTTAGTGGATTACAGTGACAGGGATAGGTTGGACTGGATGATCCTAAAGGTCTCTTCCGCCCCTGATGGTTCTGTAGGCACGGGCTATACATCCCTTAGTCTCCCCGTAAGGACACAGCACAGGAACGCTTTACCGCGCGGGCTGCGGGGAGAAGAGCCTCTGTGCGAGAGGGGCGGCTGTTTTACAGCGTCCGTGGCTGCCGCTTTCCGCAGCACGACCCAAACCCGAGCTTGGCTTTACCGGCGCCCGTTGCTGCGCCACCCCCGGGCGCCCGTGCCGGGCTATCCCCGCCTCCCTGCGGGCCGGCCCCGCCCGCGCACGGCCGCGCGTCAGAGGAGCGCCGGGCGGCCATGGGCGTCTGCCAGTTCTTCCTGCGGGGCTGCTGCCGCTTCGGGGAGCGCTGCTGGAACCAGCACCCCCGCGGGCCGCCCCCCGCGCACGGTACCGCCGCGCCGGCCGGCAGGGCGGCCCGGCCCTGGGCCGCCGCCGGAGCGCAGCGCGCCGGGCGCGCTCGGCCGCGCTGTCTGACCGGGCCGCTGCGGGCTGGGCGTGTTTAGCCTGAGGAAAAGGAGGCTTGCGGGCGGCTTATCGCTCTCTGCAAGTGTCTGAAAGGGGGCTGTAGCCGGGGGGAGGGAGGTCGGGCTCTTCTGCCAGGCAACCAGGCCTTAAGCTGCACCACGGGAGGTTCGGGTTGGGCGTTCACACAAAGAGACACGAAATATTGGAATGGACTGCCCAGGGAGGTGGTGGAGTTGCTGTTGCTGGAGGTGGTTAAGGAAAGACTGCATGCCGTGGTCTAGTTGACAAGGTGCTGTTTGGTCATAGGTTGAACTCGATGGTCTCAGAGCTCTTTTCCAACTTAACTGATCTTGTGATTCTGTGACCGCGGGATGTGCCGCAAGGCAGTGGGAAAACAGCTTGGAAAACTGTTCTTATGAGCAGTGAGCAAGTTTCCAGCAGCTGTATGTTCACCCAGTGACGGCTGTTTCCATTCTCGTCTGCTCTGGGTGTGTGGGGGCTTTGGGAAGGAAAGGGGCATGCATGACAGAGAGCTGGGGGCTGCAGTGATGGCACGGCACGAACTCACTGCAGCCACTTGTCCCTATTCCTGCTGGAAGGAGGGTCGGGGTTTGCCTGTAACAACACGCACAGGTGTGTCCGAGGTCTCAAAATGAAACTCGGGAGCTCCTTGTGCTGGAGCAGAGCCCCTGTTGTAGCTATGGAGACAGGAGCCCCTAACATAAACTTATGGTGTGTTCAATTTAATTTTTTTCTGCTGGGGTAGCTACTTCATCAAACAACCTAAGCAAAACTGAGTCAGTGTCTTTCTGCAGTGCCACAAGTTGTTGGCACGGTGAGGTAGCTGAAGGCATCTCTGCTCATTAAGGCACAGGGGAGATTGAACTAGATGACTTTTAATGGTGCCTTCCAACCCAAACTGTTCCATTTGAGAAGTAGGACTTGAGAACTACCCTGGGCAACTCAGTAGTTAAGCTGACTTAATAATGAGTTTTTATTAGGAAAAAACTACACTTTAATTTCAAACTTTTTATTGTCACTGTAAGACTAGTTATACTTACAGTTTTTGTTGATGTTGATTCATATCTTAATGATTAAAATGTTAAAATGTTTGCTTTTTTGTTTGTTTGTTTTAATTGGAAGTTTCTAGTGGAAGAGGAGGAGGATGGGGTACCTCTAACCAGAGATACAGTAATGTTATCCAGCCATCTTCGTTCAAGTCGGATACGTGGGGTGGCAGCAGAGATCATGGAAGAGGATTCTTTGGTTCCTCTGACTTTGGATCGTCAGGCGGCAGCAGCAGAAACGCAGACTTTTCACAGAACAGGTTCTCTGCCTTAGCCAACAGTCAAAGTGTTGCTGATGGCTCTAAAGATGAAGAGGAGAGACTTATGTAAGTTACAGTCCTCTCTTACTGGAAGCATTTAGAATGAGCAGATTGAAAGCTTACTGACTATCTTGAGATAATGCAGAGGACAGGATTGTGAGGAGAAAGCTGGGACACGGGAAGAAGCAGAGAAGACTTGGTTCTCTGGAATGATGCTGGCATGGGGAGGAAGTGATCTTTGTTTGGGACCTGGGTTGGGCAGATAGGCAACTGTGATATTAGTAAGATGGTATTAAAGTTGTGATCAGGAGGATAAGGAAGGAAACAGATTTCAGTGCTTAATAATAAGAAATCCCTTAATAATAAGAGCCCTTTAAGAAATTGAATTATTTTACTTGTTGTTTTGTCACTTAAGACAACGAATCTTTCTGCCAACAGCAAAACTATTGGTTTCACAGAGGTGTATGTTACAGTCAGTTACAAGTGGCCAGAACCTGCAGGGCAGATACTGAAAAGCAGCAGTGTGATTTCCTAAAGAAGCAAGGTTTTAGAAATATTATCTATTACTCTTTTTAAGATTACATTAAGAAAACACTTGGTTTTCATGATAGCAGGTTTTTGACTCTGAATTTAAATTCAAACCAATTGTTTGAATTGGTTGTTACTGGCATTTTTGATTTGACCATGCAATTTCATGTGATTTTTCACAATTTCATCTGTGATTTTGTTTTGTTAGTGAATGTGTAGTGAAAGACATGGAAATATGGGAATCTTCTGGACAATGGATATTTTCATGTTACTCACCAATGAAAGAAAAACCAAATGTCTCAGGTAGGTAATGTTTTCAGTGCTGTGTATTGCTGCTGTTTAGGATGTTTCTGTGACTTGCCATATTGTTGTACCTCTGAGCAACCATTTACAAGGTGATGATTTGCCTTGTGATACAACAGAAAGGAATACTAGTTGATGGCAGATTCAGCTTGGACATTCACACCTCTGTTACTCTGTAATGAATCTTCTTTTTGTCTGTAACTCTCTTTTTTTAACTTTTTAAAGTTTTTTTAACTGTAACTGTCTTAAGAGAGACCATGTATCGAGGTCCATGTCTTCATAAGAGTTGAGGGCAGCTGGAGGTATCAATCTGTTTTCTTGGAGGTTTTTGACTATTCCTGTCTGGCAGGCTTTTCAGATGTCTCACCAGAAGAGCTGCGTCTGGAGTATTATGACAGCAGAGCAAACAATATAATTGGAAATTATGTAAGTATTTTAAAAATGTTGGCTGGTGTGGACACTCTTGGGGCAAGACTTGTTACTGTTCTTCAGGTGGCAACTCTTGATTCATTTACCTCCCAACTCTAGAAAATTATCAGAATGCCAAAATATTTTTCAATTCCTGTGCATCAAAGTGAATGCAAAAATAGCTGCTAGACATTCCTTGACTTAATCTTGTCCCTGCTCCTGTGTGTTATTTGTAGAAGTTACTTGAGTCCTGTCTCAGAAGTTTAATACCTTATACACTATTAGTCAGTTTGATTGTTATAGGTGGTTATTTGGTGCTTTAAATAGAAATTGACCTTGTTCTTTTACATACCTTTGTTGTAGGGAATTAATGATGAAAATAGCAAATACTACTTTTCTAGAGACAGATATGTATATACTCATTTGGAAGTAAGACATATGTTTTTATATAAAACATCTCTCAGCGTGTATATATATCATTCCTTCCTTGAAGTCCTGTCAATACCAAGAAGCTAACAGAGTTTAGTGTTGTGCCAGGAAAGAAATTAGGCTGTTGGATAGATGCAAGTACAAATTAATTCAAACTACATTGCACTCTTTCCTCTTCTTGGTTCTGTGTTACAGAAGGAATTGCTCTTGTCACCACTCTTGCTTCATATGTTCAGATTTACCAGAATTGCATTTTTAGAGATGGGAGACACATAATATTTTTTTAAACTTCAATTAAAATAATAAACCAAAATAATAATAAATAATACACAATATGCTCTACATGGCTATTTAAATAAATAAATAAGTTGTGATCTTATCAAAGCATGAAATGCAAGCTTTCCTAACTCTCACTGTTGGTAACTGTATGATACAGTACATGATGGTAACTGTATGATACAGTTCTCTTACGAGATGTTTAAGTACAGCTTGTCTTTTCCATGTTTCTATTCTTAAACCGGGCCAAAATCTGAATTTTCCAGTTTGTTGGATAGGAGCAGATACCAAGCAACATGATCTTCCAGCATGTGATTAGACACAAAAGAATTATTGATGTTTGTGATGCAAGATTCTTTTGAAAAATGAAGGAATTTGTCTACAAAAAGATTAATCATTCAATTTTTGCAGGCATTTGTGACACTTGGTGTTTTACTTGTTTAAGTTTTAGGGAAAATTCAATTAGGCCAGACATCAAATGTGTTCCTTAACTTAAGTATAAATGTAGGAAATTCAGGTTTGAAATTCCTGAAAGGTTGTTTGAAGACTTTTTTAGGATTTTGCTTAATACAAAATCACAGTTATCAAGACACAGATACTATTCATTGCTGCACTGTTCTGTGCAGTTATAAATTAATCACATTTAAGAGGGTTGATTTAAGTTAAGGAAGTTAATTACATCAATAGTAACTATTTTAGGATAATACAATTGAATTGTTATGAATTACAGTGTTTTGAAAGTGGGTATTTTTTCTGAAAATGTGGAAGAAGCTAAGGTAAATCTTAGGTCTTCAGCTTAGTGAGTGAGTGCATAAGTGGAAAGGCCAGATTGAAGAGTCTGTTCTCATACATTTAAAACTTACATATCTTGTTTTGTGTAATTTTTTCCCCAAGCATCTAATTCAGAAAAAAATAGAATTTGGATTTTAAAAGACCCAGAAGTTGTTTGAATGTTACTCTGAGATAAAGGGGTTGATTTAAGGACAATAGTCAGAGAGTTTAAAGGAATTTTCTGTTAAAAACAAAGACATTGGTGCCTCACGTTGAAGTTTCAGGAAAGAAAATATCTTATTGGGTTGATGAAATTTCTTTTCTAATTCAAAATATTTTTTTCAATTCAGTTGCCAGATGACATATTTGTATTTAATTCTTCAGTAATAAAAACATGGGTTTTTTTACCCCTTTTCAGATAGATGCTGTCCAAAAGTTAGCATTACAATGGAAAAATCGGCTACTTCAGTTGAAAGCTTTAAATGCATCAACAAAAGCATCTTTGGTAAGTGTTCACAAATGGCAACATGTCTCTGTGCCTGATGTTACTTTTTAATGGAGTAATT